CAAGAAAATATTTAAATTGGTGCATAAATACGTGTGTGAATGCTAAATAAGAAATTTGAGTTCGTAACTCACCATATCTACTTCGTTAATTTGTGAATTTTGATTCTGTCCCTCTCTGACTGGCTCATTACCCGGTATAATTTCATTTTGTCTATTAAATCTTCTCTGCAACATATGTAAATTTTAAGTTAGTAAATAGTATGTGACCAAAAAAAAAAAGTTAGTAAATCGAATATATATATATATAGAGTTAGAATTTAATTCCAAAGTACCATATTAATAAAAACAATATAATTATATAGGTATGTTTTAAAGTTATTAATGTAATCTATTAGAAAATACAAAATATTCTTCAATAAAATACACTTTTAAATTAGTATAAAAATGTGCCTACCAATACATTATGATGTATACTAAGACAAACAATATATACAACATATAATATATTGTAATAATCACAAAATATTAGATCAATTTAGTAGAAATTATTTTTCAATGTAATTCATAATTTAAATTTCATGCATAAATAAATTGGAGAAAAATAATGAAAGTTTAAATAAATCAAAACCACAATGTATCAAAAAACATTTGATACAAATTAAATACTTATTAAAAAAAGTTTTGATACAACTGAAAAACATTTTCAAAGATTTAAAAGATAAACCAAATCTAAAATAGAATCAAATCTATGAAAAGAAAAGTATAAAACTTAAATACTTACTGAACGTCGTAATATTGCCGGAATGTGAGAACTATGAGGAGGAAGAGCAAAAACCTATTCATTTTCGAGAAGATGATATTAGCATTTCAAATATCTTAAATATTCGTAACACATGATCCCCAATATATAGTCTTTCATTATGCATAAATCTTCTTAAAATAATAAATATATGCAAAACACAGTACAATCAAGTGTAATATATGATGTTATTCATTCATGATTGAAAAAAAAATGATAAATAAAAAATAAATAATATGGGTACAAAACAATTCAAGAAAAAATTTTAAATTAGAAAAACACAAAATACTCCGATACAGAATTATATATTGAAAAATAAAATCATACGAAGTAACTTACAATGAGAGTTTTTTTTTTYTTTTTGTTAAAGACGATGAGAGAGTTACATAGAGACTCTTGGCTAAAAATGAATTTATATTGACTAGAGATGGGTTGCTTATGCATCCATACCTTAGTTGAACTAGATATCAACTATGTTTTTTTGGTAAATCAAATACTAACAAATATGATTTTGAAATGTAAACATATCATCCAAAATTAAATAGTAGTTCAAATTCTTCTGCGCACTACAATGAAGACACCTTAGTCAAAATTTTGCGATTATATATATTCTCTCCATTAATCAAACATTTAAATATGAGATTAACCATCCTTTCTCTTATTAAGACCAACAATATTTTTAAATCTCAATAAAAGACATTTATATCGATTTTTAGGCAAAAAATTGATTTCAGTTGATTACAGATAATTTGGTTATGTTTTTAATGTACTTAGTCCAACTAAAGTATATATCTTCTATGTTTCTAAGAAACTAGATGATAATTATTATGATATGTTATGCAAACTTTCAATGTCAATGTGAACCAAACA